AAAAAAAAAAAAAAATTTAAAAAATAAAAAAAAATAACTGAAGAAGGATTTATTGATCCTCTATTAGGAGTTAAGCTCTATAGACATTTATATTGAAAAAGACACAGCCCCTATACTCAAGGTGGTCATGGATTACTGGATAAATGTTTTTATTGCCCTCCCCTTTTTTTGAGATAGTCTCACTCTGTTGCCCAGGCCCAGGCTAGAGTGACATGGCTTCAGCCTAGCTTATAGCAACTTCAAACTCCTGATTCAAGCAATCTTCCTGCCTTTGCCTCCTCCTGTAGCTGAGACTACAGATGTCTGTCACACACATGGCTACATTTTTAACTATTTAATAAATGGTTAAATACTGTTTCTTTGGGGACAATGCAACCCTTCATCCTTCCTGCTCCCTTCTTACTCCAGACTGATTAGCATCCCATCTATGCTCTGGGACAGATTCTAGCCGTTAACCCCCATAAAGAGGTCAGTTCTTCTTCACCTTCCACTCTTAGGGAGACCTCAGGTCCCCCCTACGCCAGCCCAGGGACCCCGAAGCATAGCACAGGGCTCTCACCACAGGCTTTTCCAGTTGAGTCCAGTAACACGCTCTGCACAGTGGCCTTCATCAGGACAGCACCCCCAGCCTGCTGAATCACAGGGATGGTGTGGAAGGCAATTTCACTGGAACCCCCTCGAGGATAAAAGGCCCCTTTTAAGTAGTGGTGAACCAGCACAGCGTGCATGGAAAAGGTGGTGTGGCTGGGGGTCACACCTGCAGAAGGATAGAAGGAAGGGTGATGAGCAGGCAATGGGCACCAGCACAACTCAGAAAAGCACATAGACTCCTGAACATAACATGCAGCATGAGTCCAGGTGAGGATGCAAATGTTCCTCAGGGCCCAGGGCGGCCAAAGGAGCCATTTCCATCAGTGTTCTCAGGGCCAGCAGAAATATCCTTTCTGCACACTGTCATGCTGCCAAGTCAGGGGTGGGCAGTGTTGATGGAATAGAAAAGTCTTCCAGGTGTGGATGAAGGAAATTCCTACCAGGGAGTCAAGCTGGTGGCAAGACTTCTCATCCACAAGTTCCAGAGGGCCTGGGGTTTATACACTGCTCCATTTCAGAAGAAAGACAGAGCTGAGAGGGCAGCCCCTCCTCCTCCAGGAGCTGCCTCAAGCCTGTGGCCAGTACCCACCGTAAGTGGGGAAGATGTAGCTGAGCACTGCCTGGAGCTCAGGGGAGGCTCCCAGCTGCTGCAGGACCTCAGCCAGGCTCTGGGTAGATGCACGAAGGAATGGAGAGAACCGAGTCAGCAGCCTACACCTGACAAGGAGCCGAGCCACAGGCAATGGGAGGAACTTAAGCAGGATGGCATGGGAGGTTCCCTCAGATACCACCTGGGGAAGAAAACAGCTGTGAGAAACAGACCTCACCCCTGCACCTGCTGTGACAGACTCATTATGCCCAGAGTGCATCAGCCTGAGGGCCCGATAACACCCCAGACTGAACTCTACTGAATTTGGATTTATAAAAAATACAGACTTTGTGAATTTTTCCTATCCTACACTCATAGGATCCCTTTTTTGTTTTTTAGTTTCCTGCTCAAATTCATTTTCAAAAATCCCTATCTGGTCTCAGATGAAGTCAAAAAAGGAGTAGTACTCTGACCCTTGTAGAAGTCAGGCTAGTCAGGGAAGAGAGCAAGGTGCCCCCAGAGGCCAGACCGGGAGTGGCAGCTGGGAGCCCAGGCACTAGATCAGCCCTGCTGCACAGATTGGGTGGGGGCTGACTTCAGGACAGACACACTATTCTGATCCTCCCTTCTGCAGTCACTCCTTACCAGTCACTCCACTAATGAGGAAGGTCAGCCTTGTTAGGAATAAACTGGGGGGCTTCAACATAGTCATATTACCTTAACCAGCTTCATATACTTGTCAATGGCAGCTTTTTCCTGTGGAAACTTCTCCTTGAGGCCCTGAATGTAAGCCTTCTCTCCACTGTACATGGGGAACTCCTTTCGGCCATCAGACCCTTCTAGTACCATGATGTCAAAAGGAGAGGACAGGGTAGCCCAGTCCAGCTGCCCTTCAGTGATCTGGTCCAAGATGAAACGGCCAATGCTGCCCTCTTGCATGCGCCCAATATAATGGATTCCTGTTGGGAGAGGGAAAAACAAGGTGGCAAAGTGGGGGATAAGCCCCAGAAAGGTGGTTGAGGAAGTAAAATGGAAGAGGTTGTCCAGCTTGGTTAACTGCATGCCTGGACAGGGCTGCCCACCCTTTCTGCGGGGAGGTGTCACAGCAGAAATTACCAGATCTCTGTCCAGTTCAGTTCCCACTAGATACAGCTGTCACATGAGAAAAGTTCCCAGAAAGATGATAACCTCCAAAACCACAGAAATTCCCAGTATCACCCCATAAGGGCTGTTCCAAGCCTCCTGAAAATATAGCCCTTCTAACCCTTCCCACAGAAGCCTTACCTGTGTCAAATTCAAGGCCATTTTTTCCAAAGGTATGACAACAGCCCCCTGCCTTGGTATGTTGTTCCAACACCAGGACTCGCTTGCCAGCTTTAGCCAAAATTGCAGCTGCAGCCAGGCCCCCAATGCCACTGCCAATCACCACCACATCCAGCTTCTCTGGCACTTGGCTGACTGAGAAAGCTGCAGCAGAAGGGACAAGGTGGAAGGTGGGCTTCGCAGGCAGGGGCATGCTAATAGCAAATATAAGGAAGCCAAGAATACTTCTCTGATTCTTCAAACCGAGAAAGAAAGAAAGAAAAGACTTCTCTAGGTTGGACAGTACAAGAAACCTGCAGAGAAGTTTGGCCTGCAGCTCTTGACTAAGATAGGAATACTTGGGACCAGCCAAGCAGATTCAACAAAGTGATTTGGTTTGATCTGATTTAACCAAAGCCACAATATACCTGGGGATTTTCCCTCCATTGAAAGAAAGCAGGCTCGGCGCCTATAGCTCAACCGGCTAAGGCACCAGCCACGTACACCTAAGGTGGCGGGTTCGAGTCCCCAGCCCAGACCCGCCAAACAACAATGACGGCTGCAACCAAAAAATGGCCAGGCGTTGTGGCGGGCGCCTGTGGTCCCAGCTACTTGGGAGGCGGAGGCAGGAGACTCGCTTGAGCCCAGGAGTTGGAGGTTGCTGTGAGCTGTAATGCCATGGCACTCTACCCAGGGGGACAGCTTGAGGCTCTGTCTCAAAAAAAAAAAAAAAAAAAAAAAGAAAGAAAGCAGCAATCAGTAAATTACTACAGAAATAAAATCAGAAAGCTGACAAAATGACAGGCTGAGAAACCTAAGCACAGAGAGCTAGGGGGTCGAGAGCAGGAAAGGCTGCTGGCTTATGGAACCATCCAGAACAGGCTGGTTTCTTTGGAAGACACAGCGTCTGCAGGTGCCAGTGGCGCTCCAGCTATTATGGTAGCTGTTTCAGATCTGACAGAAAGGTTTGGACAGGACAGAGGTTGCTGCTCTGAGAAATCACAGCACCTGCCCCTCACATAGGGGGAAGTCTGGAAGCAAGGCAGGGATGGGGGGATGGGGAGCACCTCAACGAAAGACAAAACTGGATAGCACATAATGGGCACTTCTAACACAATATCTATTCTTCAAAAATCACTCCTAGGCTGGGCATGGTGGCTCACGCCTGTAATCCTACAACTCTGGGAGGTAGAAGGATCACTTGAGTCTGAGCAAGAGACCCTGTCTCTACTGAAATAGAAAACTGATGCTGGGCACAGTGGCTCATGTCTGGAATTCTAGCACTCTGGGAGGCCAAGATGGGTGGATTGCTTGAGCTCAGCAGTTCGAGCCCAGCCTGAGCAAGAGTATTCTACTAAAAACAGAACAAACTAGTCTCTGTGTCATGGTGGGTGCTTGTAGTCCCAACTACTTGAGAGGCTGAGCCAAGATTACTAGAGCTCAAGAGTTTGAGGTTGCTGTGAGGTGTGTGTATATATATATATTTTTTTTTATTTTTTTGAGACAAGAGTCTCCGTCTGTCACCCTCAGTAGAGTACTGTGGCGTCACAGCTCACAGCAACCTCCAATTCCTGGGCTTGGGGGATTCTCTTGCCTCAGCCTCTGAAGTAGCTGGGATCACAGGCGCCCACCAGAACACCCGGCTATTTTTTTGTTGCAGTTTGGCTGGGGCCAGGTTCGAACCCACCACCCTTGGTATATGGGGCCAGCGCCCTACCCACTGTGCCACAGACACCGCCCTGCTGTGGGGTATTGATACAGGATTATTCTCTAGGCCCAGGCGAGCTCAGAAATCAGACCCGTGTTTCCAGGCACAAACAGGCTGCCTTTTCCAGGCCACACCCTTTGGGCTCTAGCAAGGTCATGAACAAAGCAGCCTGAAAAGTTCTGGGTAGTTCCACCTTGAGTAGGGAGCATACACCCTAACTCCTTCCCTGAGATAACTTTGTCCTAGTGGAGAAGGGACTGCATTTCATTCATTTGTTAATATACTCATTAACTTTGAAAAGATGTTTTTCTACCTACCAAGTCCTGTAATATAGACCCCTAAACAAAGGGCCCACAAGAGACTTCCAACTTAGGTCTTCCCCTTTGCCAGAAGTTCTGTTGCTTTTTACTTCTTCTGATTCCTGTCTAATAAAAATCCTGTCTTACCACAGAGACCAAGGAACTACTGAGGAAGAAATGCTGGTAACAGTATGATGACACCACAGCATTCTACCCAGGGTGACAGAGTGAGACTGTCTCCAAAAAAAAAAAAAAGAAAGAAAGAAAAGGAAAGGAAAATTAGCTGGGCATTATGACAAGTGCCTGTAGTCTCAGCTACTTAAGGGACTGAGGCAGAAAGACTGCTTGAGCTCAGGAATTTGAGGTTGCAGTTAGTTAGGCTGACACTACATTCTAGCCAGGGAAAGAGAGTGAGAAACTGCCTTAAAAAGATTCACAACCAAAGAACTGAGATTTGGAATTTGTCAAGCTGTTAAGAGAAGGTGACAGTCTTTATGTTTCAAAAGTTTGTAGAAAAGCCTCACATTTGTAATTCTAGCACTCTGGGAGGCTGAGGCATGAAGATCCCAACTTGAGCTCAGGAGTTACAGAGACCAGCTTGAGCAAAAGAGCAAGACCCTGTCTCTACTAAAAATAGAAAAAACTAGCTGGGCATGGTGGCAGGATTGTAGTCCCAGTTACCTGGGAAGCTGAGGCAGGAATTTTCACAGCACTCAACCCCAGGGGGATAGAGTGAGACTCTGTCTCAAAAAAAAGCTTGTAGAGAGACCCATAGTGAAAAATACATTTTATATTACCACCCAGGATATATCTGTATAATACACACATGTGAAACAGAAGTTTCTCAATGCCATACTTAATGACACTATGGGTGATGAACTCTGATGTTTCCTATCCTCTGCATTTAAAAATGTCAGTTGCAATCCACAAAACTTATTTAACCCACTAACAGTTCATAACCTGGTCTGAAAAACAATTAAGCCAGTCATCTCAGTTTTAGACCTGCACAGAAAAGTGGAGTGGCTTGCTAATGGATATGCAGTAAATAGTGACAAGTGTCCAAGCTCGAACTCTGGTCTCAGAAGTAGACAATCAGTCCTTCCACATAAAACAGTTTGTCTCTGTGCAGTAAGATGTGTCATACAGAATTCTGAAATTTACAAGTGAGAGCAACTCTGGAGATCAAACAGAGATCCAGTATTTTGGTTTTGGTTTTAAAGCAGAACTCTTTCTTTAAATTGCAGAAGCAACCCCCACAAATACAGCTTAAAGATGACAGGGTAAAGCAGGCTCTGAGCCTGAGGCACCCTGCTGAACCTCTGTCCAAGTTCTAGAAGCAGGGTTCAATTCTTGGAGTTGCCACCACACATAAACTATTAAAACGTCTATGGTAAAACACAATGTCCTATACTGATTTGGAGAGATTTCTATGCAGCTCCCCTACACACTTGAGCCCACGAAGAAGATTATGTGAAGAAGTCAGTACTGGAACCATGTGGAGGAAAAGTCTTTTTTTATCTGTTCTGTGAACCTGAAGACTCCAAGTCTTGGGGCCAGGACTAGGCTATGCCAAGACCTTAGCACGCTAAGGACTGTGCCCGCGGCCTTGGGACTGTTTACTGGGTCTGTTCGGACGATGGCTTTCGCCAGTGACGCACACTACGGAAGCCCTGCCAGCACTTTACATACGGAGAAACTGAGTCCTGTGTCTGGCGGAGGCTTGCTCTGCCCGGACGGGCTTGCAGACCTGTGAGAATGGCCCAGCGCAGCCCCAGAGCCCAGGGTCTCTCCTGCTGACCTCGTTTGAGAATCTTCTTCCTGGCCTCCTTGTCCGTCACCAGGGGCGCTGGTGGCCGCTTGACATCCTCAGAGAAGGGATTCGGGGAGCTGCCTCCGAATAGCCCCAGGCAAACTTTTCCGAGGACCGCCAACAGCAGCACGGCCAGCAGCAGCCCCAGCGTAAGCCACATTGCGCCTGCCTCAGGTCCGCGAAATGCGCCGGCTCGGACTTTGCTCAGCCTCTAGGACCAAGGCTCCGCCCACCGACTTTGCCCACTCAGGATGCGGAGGAAGCATGGAGCACGCTTTAGTCAATTAGAGAGAAGCGCGCGCTGCGGAGCGGATTAGCCCTGCCGGCTCTCCGTACTCCCGGGGAGCGCGAAGTTTCCAGTGCTTGTTGGGAGTTGTGGTTCTCGGGGCAAGGGTGGCTGCACGGGACACTCAGTGCGCGTGCGCGATGCGGCAGCGTCAGTAAAGCTCCGGTAACGCTGGGAACTTGTCGGAAGAGCCTGGGGCTGGAGGAGGGAGAACGCGAGTGAGGGAGGGCGGGGGGAGGTAATGATCACTGCGGAGTCAGACAGGACTAAGAGGGAATTCCGACTGAGATGCCAGAGACCTGGGTTCTGTTCCTAGCTCTGCCCCTGACTCGCTGGACGCCCTGAGGCAAATTGCTGTACTTTTCTTCCTCGTCCAGGCAATGCGAAAGTTTCCGTCCAGAGTCCCCACAGGGCTCCTGTCTGGCTGAGTGTCTTGATGAATTGAGATCCTGTTAAGATCTGCGCATCACATTGGAGAGCGTCCGGCTCTTTGCCTCTCAGGGTGACCCATAGTTCTGACATTGGCAGCCCCCGGACAGCATCGTTTGCGGCGGGCCCTGACGGGCTCCCTAACTGCACACCCTTCGAGGGACAAATCCGAGGAAAGGATCAGCGAAGGTCTGTCATGCCTATGTGTGTATTTGTACTGAAGGATGGACCCACTCTCTAAATACCTAGGCAGAGAGTTTGAGCTCCAGCAAGCAGTTGAAAAATCATACTCCCTTATGTAGCTCCCTGCCTACCATAGCACAATGAATACTTCGTTTGAGAAGGGTCCATTTTGTAGGAAGGCCCCATCTTCTTCTCCAGCGATCAGGAACTTGCCTGATATTGGTAGCAGTAACTTCATACCTTTGAGTATTTGCTTGTTCAACAGAATTTTTGCTCATTTATTTCTGGGATACGGGTCATAACCGTCCCCATTGGAAGCCCAGCAGAGCTGCACTCGGGTGCAGTAAGGCTGGTCATGCTTCTGTGCTACTTGGTTTATTTCCTGCACAGTAACAGAAGAGCCTTTTTGAAATTGCTATCGCAGTACCTGCCTGTCACCCGGCCAAAGTTGGCTGATGTGTGAGTGTGTTGTGTTACGGTACCATAGAGGCCAAGGGGGAGGAAAAGGAAAGGAAAACAAATGTTAAAACCCCAGAGGCCAGAGCAAGGGAGGCCTAGTTTCTGGGGTGCTAAGACTGAGGGGAAACTACACGTTCCCTAAGATGACAGTGAGCCCCATGTCTAGCCCCTAAACCGGGAGGCATTCCTCCCTTGGTGTTAATAATCAAAGCATCCTGACAAAGATCCCAGTTTGTTACCAGAGCCACTTCCTAGGGAATCCAGATTATAGTCTCACAGTGGAGAAGCCACCCTCCTTCCTTAGTCATCCAAGTCTGTGGAGAATGATTGTTGGTTTTGTCTGGGCCATCTGCCCATTTAAGATATGAATTTTTGATGTGACAGGCATCCCATGATGTGTCCTGTAAGATACCAGCCTTGTCTAGCCCTTTTCCTGAGGCCAGCAAAGTAAGAAGAAAAATTTAGAGTTGGCTTGGCGCCTGTGGCTCAAGTGGCTAAGGCGCCAGCCACATACACCTAAGGTGG